TGATGTTCCTTCATATGGATTTTTTTTCAGATTTAGCACGTTTTTTTTAATTCTAAATTTTGTTTCCCCTCAGTGCAAGAGAATTTTTCGAAGTCAAATTTAAGTACCCGTTATGTATGTGAGTGTCCGGATACTAGGTCGTTTATGCGGTTTTAACTTGAGAATGCATTAATTTTATGTTAAGAATATATTGCTTTTGAAATACGATGTTGAAATACCATCAAGCGTTCTTTAAACCGGACAAAAGCAATCTTGAATGTAAAATTTTCGGTCTTAAAAAAACTTGAAATAAGAATTTTATAGCTACTCCACTTAAACCGTTAAATGCTAAGTACCTATTACAGCAAAATAATTTTTACAAACCTGTGTTAATTCCGGAATGCCAGAAGCTTTGTACGTTCTAAAAAACGATTTCACGACGTTTGATGATCGCAGTTTAAGAAGTCCATTTACCGACATTTTCTAAAACGAGAAAAACAATTTCATTTGCTTGTGGTTGTTGTGTTAATTACGTCCATTTTCTATAGGTACATACAATTTTTCTACAATCGGATGGGGCGTATCTTAAAATTTACCCCACCTCGTTAAAAATGGCAAAACGAAGACAAAACGGTATGAAATGAATGAGAAAGCTATTGAACAATTTTGCAGAGAGCTGGCAATTCTCTGATATCGACCAACTCTTTAAGAGTAAACGCGCAGTGGAGTTCTCTTCGTTTCTCTTTCACATACCAAACGAAAATACAAAGGGAAATGTCAAAAACAAAATCCATTGTAAAATCCACAAAAACTGCAGCCAACTTCGCGCATTTTTGCATTGGACGTCGTTTGTTGACATTTCGTTTTTTTCTTTGTGCGCTACTTCGTCTAATTGTAATTTCGTAAAATTTTTTCTTTTGTAAAAAAGTGCTATTGGACATAAATGGGAAATCCAAAGTGCAAACGTTCCTAAAAAACATGCATTTTGCGCGATCGTTTGATGTTGAAAAAAACTAGTAAGGTGCTGAAACAGAATTTATTGAGACGTGCAAATTGTTTGGATTTTCAGAGGACGCGCTGCTTTGTATGTGTGTATTCGACCATCTAATTGCCTGCAACGCTAGTTCTTTCCCGATTTTCATGACTTTGGCTGCATTTAAATACAAAAAAAATTGCAGCGATTTTCATGCAGGTTTAATTTAATAAGAACA